GGCCGCGCGCTCCTGGCCGCCGCTACTGCCGCTGCTGCTCCTGTGGACCGCGGCCCTGGCTCCGGGGGCGGCCGCCGGCGACGAGGCGGCTCCCGCGGGGGCCTCGGTGTGCTACTCGTCCCCGCCCAGCGTGGGCTCGGTGCAGGAGCTGGCTCAGCGCGCCGCGGTGGTGATCGAGGGAAAGGTGCACCCGCCGCCGCGGCAGCAGGGGGCACTCGAAAAGAAGGCGGCGGCGGCGGGCGAGGCAGGGGCGTGGGGAGGCGAGCGCCAGCCGGCGGCCGCGGGCCCGGGGCTGCAGGAGCTGCCTACGGAGGACCCGCTGCCCTTTGCCAACGGGACCCTGCCCTCTTGGCCCTCAGTCCCAGCGCCCAGCGCCAGCGATCCCGGGGAAGAGGCGCCCTATCTGGTGAAGGTGCACCAGGTGTGGGCGGTGAAAGCCGGGGGCTTGAAGAAGGACTCGCTCCTCACCGTGCGCCTGGGGGCCTGGGGCCATCCGGCTTTCCCCTCCTGTGGGAGGCTCAAGGAGGACAGCAGGTACATCTTCTTCATGGAGCCTGATGCCAACAGCAGCAGCCGCGCGCCAGCCGCCTTCAGAGCATCTTTTCCCCCTCTTGAGACCGGACGGAACCTCAAGAAGGAAGTCAGTCGAGTGCTGTGCAAGCGGTGCGGTAAGTTCCTCGCCCCCCGGGGTGCGCTCGGACAGGGCGGAGAGAGTGCGGGCCGGGCGCGGCGGGCGCACTGGTGGGGCGCGGCGGGCACCGAGGGCTCCTCCGGCCCCTTGGCCCCAGCTGACATTCCGGGAGCTGCCAGTTTTGGATGGTGTTAGTACTAAGTGATCCTCAGAGAGAGAGGTTTACTGGATTCCACAGGCAGTTTTCAATTTCCTAGGGTTTTGCAATTGGTGAAAACTCAAGTTTAGTCTTGGGTTGTGGCGCTTGAAACTTTAATCCTTTGGGATTTGGGCTCATCAGTACAAGTGTGTTGTGCGGAGGGTTTTCTTGCCTGTGGGCTATTGAATTTGCCTTTGAGGAGGGATGGTTGATTTTGGGCCACTTTGTAGGCGTTTCTCTTTAAAACAGGGTGAACTCTTCACTTAAGGTTCTGAGTGGGGAGGTCAGGGGTTTGTGTTGGTGGAAAGCCATGTAAGAATATTGCTCTGGTATTTTTCTGTATGTGCGGTGGACTTTTGTGATGAACTCACCATCAAACATGCAAGTACAGTTTGTACGTTATGAATTTGTGTATGTGAAGAGTAGAAAGTTTTTTGGGGGATTTTTTTTCCCTTTAAAATCATCTCAAGATTTTGTTTAGTTTTGTTTTGTTTTCACAATATTTTAGTTTGGAGTATATCTTGGCACATCACTGAATAAGAACAGATGAATGTAATTCACTAAATAAGAACAGATGAACGTAATTATGGAGTTTGAATTGTAGGCCCTAAAACAAAATTTCGGTAGGTAGATGTAACGATCAATTTCCCAGACTTTTTTTTTTTCCTCATTGGAAAGTATTCTCTCAAGGTCTCCTTAAGATTATCAGGTTTGAGAAATTAGGTGATGATCCAGTTAGGCTTTTGAGACTACATTTATGCCATTCATTCAATAATTCCTGGCATGTCAATATCTGTATTATTTTCTGGTTATCATATAATCACAAAAGTGTAGCAGGGTTTCTTCTCAAACCATAAATTAGCATGATTGCACACCATAAATCCTAACATGCATGATAGCTTTCCCCTTCTCTCCATCTTTATGTGTCTCTTTAATAGATAGTTTGTGTTAATTGGATTTTTACAAAACTCAGCACCATACCATGTTCAGCCTGTCATACAAAGTGTGCAATTCCTTTTTAATTCGTATCTGGTCGTGACCAATCATTTGAATTTCTAGCTGGCATTTGAGAGGCTTTTATCCTACAGTTAATTAATACCTACCCATTTAGTTTTAATGTCAGGAGAGCACATTGTGCAGCCACCGTCTTCTAATTTTCACAGTGCAGTTTGTGTGCCAGAGAACTGTCAAGATTGCACCACTATGTGGACAGAAGCTGTTCTCAGAGAGTGGTGCTGAAGAAGGCTGAGTGACGTTGGGATTCCCCATGACTGGCTGATAGATGTCACTGTAAAACATGAGAAACACTCTGCTGGGAGCTGTCTTGTTAGGGAATATAAAAGCTCAAGATCATTGTCCTGCAGTGTGTTATGTGGTTACAGAATCTGAAAGAAAATCATTTAATCCATACCATCATCCAGTTATCACGTGTTTTATTATATGTCATTTAGGAAGGACTTTGCTTTTACCCAGACCATATGAGCTGTGAATCTTTTACTATATACATTGTGTGGGAAGTTGCTATAAAGGGAATTATAGTTGGCAATGATGCTAGGTTTGGGGGTGTGTTGCTAGATTAGCAATAGTATTAGTTGTGTCTTTTAACCAAAAGTAACTGACAGTCTGCAGTGGTACATTTCTTAAAAACATCTAGAAGATACTTGGGAATGGCAAATGTGTGCTGTCTGGAGGAATACTCTTCTGTTTTTGTGCTTTTAAAAGGAAGCTTCCTTGTAAGTAGTTAGATTATCCTTTTCTTTACCAGTCAAAGGAAATACATAGTTGTAAATTGTGGCATGTTAAGTAAAGCAGTTTTAAAAATGAACTTGAAGTTTCACTGTGTAACTGAATAAAGAATCATGAAGCTAGTACTCTGTTCTGTGTCCTTTTTGTGTATGCACATTTTAGTGTAATGCAGTTGAAAATAGAAGAGTGATTGAAACTAACAGTTTTGGTGAAGGAGCAACAGAAATGCTGAAAGTTTCTCTTGTACTTTAATGAACATGGTAGCTATTGGCATGTTGAACAGAAAATGGAAATAAAAACTGTATAAATCCTTACTTGGACTATTGGATGTAATAGTATGTGTGTGTACATTCATCCACTTGTTTAGTCTTGGTTAATACTGTCATATAAAATCTACCAGGCAAAAGAAAACACACCACTGAGAAAACATTCAGATAAGAAATAGGGACTGGTTTGTCCTGGTAGAGCTATGTCTTTGCACTCTGGTAAGATTTCAGGGAGAATAATGTAGAAGAGGTCCTTATCTAAGGACAGGAGTTGCCCCTGGGGCATGATTACTGTGTTCCAGCCTGAGCCCTGATGCTAGGCTGGAGAGGTGAATATAGCAAAGTCATTTTGTGATATTCTACCCAGGAGAACCGTTTCCAGCTCTCATACTCTAAGCTGAAGGTTTGTTTCCTACAAGTTACTTAGTAGGGTAAAAACTACATATGCAACAGATTAGCTTTAGGATTAAATTACTTGAAGTAGTCCCTAAATTATTTTTTTCTCATTTACTACTCTCTAAGATAAACTCCTGAAGAGTGCCTGAAAAAAAAAAAAAAAAAGAAAAGAAAAGAAAGGAAGAGAAGGAGGAAAAGCTCTTCTTCGAAAAATGAGCCATTTGAAACAGAAACTGTTAGTATGTTTTAGAGTTTCATGGCTTGTTTCCATGATTTTTATACTTTGTGTAAATTAGAATTCCTTTAAATTTTTTCCAGTCTTTATTTTATTCTTATTCACTGAATAATCTCAAGTATTTATAGATTTTATTGAAATACGAATTAATTTGCTGTTCAATGAAATTTCTATTCTTTGAACCAATCATTGCTTGATTCACTACACTTTTAGTGTTCAGCTTTTTCAGTGTTTTTTGTTATATTAGGGAAAAACTAATTTTTGAGTAGTAAAAATACTGTGGTTAAGTGATACTATAATTGGACCATGTAAGATTTTTCCATCAATTATGTCCTCACAAACCAGTCTAAATCTGGTGTATCATATGACATTGGAATGAAGATGTATGCATTCACATATTGATAAAGTAAGCATGTTTATCAAATATTTATGATAAATGAGACTCACTGTTTATAATAGCCTCAGTAACTTTAATAAAGTGTGTTGACCTTAGGGTGCTATGACAATCAAAAAAAAGCTGCAGGGATTTTCCAGCTAGCATTGAAGAAAATTATTATTAATAAAAACTATATTAAGGAAGGGCAATAGGAATAGATTCAGCTTAACTGCTTGTATTTCATAAATATACATGCAAATTTAATTTCCCAAGTGTTTGTTACTGCTCTCTTTAAATGTTAGGAATCTTGCTGTCAAAAGTCTATACTGTATTTAAAATTACTTCCGTTGAGCAAAGAAACTAGATATGTACTTATTTATATTTAGATTAAAGAAAAATAGAACCAAGCTCAGTCATTTGGGAAGACAGCTCCCTAAAATACAAATATAGAAATATATGTATATATTTAAAATGAATTTAAATATCTGAGTTCAAATAGAATAGTTGACTAGCGTAAGTCATCAGATTTGAGAAATCTAAATCCTCTGAACCTCGGGCAAGCTTTACTCTCTGACCTAATGTGTTAGGTAGGGTTGGAAGGCTCAGACAAGACTGAGGCTCAGCACAACTGAGTTGGCCTCCACTGTCTGTTTACAGCAAATGAAAGCAAAGGATGCAATTGCTCTTGTAAAATACAACCTATTCATGGTTTATGAAATTTCTTTTGCGTCTATACCTATTTTCTTTCTGTAATTTTCTACTTAATTGAAGGCATAATATTTTTAAACCTATTTTAAAATTGAGTGACGACTTATAAACTAACAAGCTGTCCAGAGGTCTTCAGTACTTAACACTAATTGTTTTTTTCATTCATCTGTTCATTTTTTTTTAATGTGGGCAAGTCATTTGTGAAACTGTCTCTATAAATGACACTTGTAGTTATTTTGATTTGCTCTCAAAAATGAAGATAATAATGGGAGCCAGAAAGAATTAGGGCTGTTAATCACTCAAACAATTTATTACTGAACATAATACCAGAGGCAACTAAATATGCCTTTATAAAAATTTTCTTAAGAAATGAAAAGCTAATTTTTAAGGTTCTTACTTTTCAGTGATAGAAATTCACACTGCACACAGGTTTAGTCCATACATGACTACTCAGTTTGGCACATTAATGTGTTAGTTTATGCTATGATGACATCATAAAGCTGATGATGAAAATGCTATTTTGGAAAATGCTGCTGCTGCTGCTTATCCTCATGTTTCCAAATACCTGATTTATGAAAATGCTGAACCAACTTCTTAGTGACGTGTCCCCGTCACATTTTTAAAAACAAAGTGAGTTATTTAGGAATCTACAGAATACATAGTTAAGTTGTACTGAACTGAAGGACTGTGCTGCTTGAGAGCTGTGTTTCATATCACAGAGGTTGGGAAAGCCATGATTGAGGCTTGTGCACTTGGTACAAACATCTTCCTAAAGGCTTACGTTCTGGATTTCTATCATTGAAAAATGGTCTGATGTACAGATTGAAGTAGAATAAAAGACATTTTTACCAAGTTTAAGGTTAAGAATTGGACTGACTACTCTCTGTTTTAGGGATCTCCAATTGTTAGAAAATATTTCCGAAATATAAACTGGCCATCCAGGCATCCCAGGGAGAGGTGTGAATGGCAGTTTATCTTATGCTATTCTCTTTTCAGGAGAACCTAGCTACTTCTCTAAGAGACCCAGGGAGCTCTAGTGATGTGGCGAGTAGGGAATTGCACTCCTCACTCAGATGTGGTACTTCCAGCAGCTGCTTTTTGAGAAAAATGATCAACCTCACCCTATGTGATTTTTCTAAAAATCCCACTGGCATGTCAACTGTGACTTGGTTCCAACTTAATGGCAATGGGTTTAAGTTGAGTTTTTTTAGTAGAGTAAATACAAACAAGAATCTTGGTTTATATATAGCTTGAGTGATCTATAGGGGA